TCTTAGTTCATTTTTACCTAAATATTCATTTAAATAGACTGTTCTGTGACATTTTTATTAGTTTCACTCGGTGCAGTTTACATGGGTTAGGCAAAATAATAATATATGTGTTAGTGGGGAGATTATATGTATTATAGAATTCTTCTCTAACGAATTAATGTCACATATTTTACTTACGTCTTTTGTTAGCATCTTTTAATTACTTTCTTTAAACAATCATTTTTTGTTTTCTTTCTTTTCATAAGACGTGACATACACAATTAAACAAACATAAAGCTGAGTAGCCAATATACTTATTGTTCGTGTCTTAGGTATTTCAACCTATTCTTTTGTTCTAAGGTTTATTTAATGCACATCGCAAAAAAATGTTAAAATATTTGTTCAGTCGGCAAGCCTGTTAAATGTTAAATTTTGATTTATTTTTTTAACAGTCGTTGGAAATATTATATTGTAGGTAAATATATCCTAGATTCCACAAATAAATAGGAACTCACATTTTTTTTTAAATATTCAATATTATGACGCCTACTGTATGTAGGCTACAGTAAAACACATTAAATGAGCCTTTAAAGTAGCTATATTATTTTATAAAAAAACACACTCGATCTATACATGGAGTTAACGAAAGAGAGGGAAAGAAATGGGGATTTTTAACGTCCACTCGACACAAACAAGGTCATTTGGGGACTAACATATAGTTAATTTTCATTTCAATAATCCGCTTGCGCGTAGGGGTCTTTAGCAGTGGGAGGAAAAAGGAGGACCCGGAGAAAACCCACGAGGTTGGACAGGCGACCCTACTCCTTGTCACATACAACCAGGAAATCGAAACCACGCCAGTAGACTTATGATACAATGCACACGCGCTAACCATTCGCCCCCCCCCCCCCCAATTTAGTTAAAACATATTATGATTATCTACAAACTTTTTTAATTCTTATATTACAAACCTCAACATATCTCAAAACTAAAATACAATTTTTGAAAACTAACTTTTATTGGTTGGCTACCAAAAAATCAACAAGAACAAAAAAACACATTATGTTTGTTTACAGTAAGTGACGTTATTGAGACATTATTCATGAAAAATATGGCTGCTACTCCTGGTGTCTTCCAATTGAAGGACTGGAAATCGAGACTTCGTTTATTATCGTGGCAATGGTACTTTAAAATCGGGAATAATATTATATTATGAACAGTCAAACGGTCAATCTTTGGGCTATTTTGACAAAACTTCAAACATTCAAAACGTCACTCAGAATAAAGTAATTTGACTGAACATTTTAAATATATTATTCATTGTTCATTATCTATATTTGAACTATGATATATAAATGAAATGGGGTTTAACGTCCTATTGTTCTGCTTCTACTGGGCTAATGAAGACGGGCATACGCCATATAGTGTGCTATGAGGGAAATTTTGCCCGGGCAGCGGGAACTATGATATAGCAAGAACGACCAGTTCTTTATCTAAACCTCACATAATGCATATTTAAACTGTTAAAATGTCTTAATTAATATGCATTATTCTATTAGCATGATTAATGGCGACAAATTGTTCTAATTGCATAGACTTTTTGCCACTTTAGCAAAACATAAAGTTGGTGCACAGAATAGATTTATTTCATTTGATGCAAAAGAAATAGATTGATATAAAGACAAAAAAGTAATCGTAAATATCATTTTAATTAATTATGTGAATGAATGAAAACTGGTTTGGTTGATCTTATATCAAGCTGTTAAAAGATTACGTGAAAAGCACATTTGTCTATGCTATGTTACATTTTCTCCAATCTTAACACTGTCTTTGATATAAGAAGAAAATTGTACATCAAAAGGCCATTTCCCGAAGCACCCCACTGAGTGACCTCAACGTATAAAAATTCAATATGTAAAACAGTAAATTTGTTGTTGATATGGTAAGTCTAGGCTGCGCCTTGGCATAAGGTTAAATTGTTGTTTTTTATTTTTAAATTATTAAATTAAGATAGTCGAATGGCGGCTTTAGTTGCATGATCACATTCGGTCTTCAGTTATCTATCGGCTAACAAATTCTCCATATCATCGTCATCAACACCACAATCGTTTTGAACATACGTCGTATAATGTATGAATGGCGTAGACTTAAATCTAGCATAATTTCGGCATATCTCGAGCTTCGTGTCCCCCCCCCCCCCTACAATACCAAACTTCTACCACTATTCCATTGATGCTTTTCATTCTTTAACCGTAGGTCAGTTCAGTGTACGAAAGATATACCCAGAATATTTCATTGCCTTAAAATTGGTAGAACTCTCTGACTTCTATATGTTTTGTGGGGATGACAATTTGTCTTCGTTCAAAATTTGACCTCTATAGATAAAACCAGTGCTGAGATATAACAGATTTTGCGTTCCACTGTCCACCCATACAGTAAGGTAAATATAAAACAAAAAATAATAAATAAGTAGATTTCCGCTCAATCTTTGGAAACAAAATTTTTTTTCGCATAGAACTATGCCAATTATACACTGTCACATATTGTACTGCGCCGAGGTGCTACCTTGTCAAATTATACACACAATTTTATCATAGCTTCATCTTGCCAACTTAATATTGTGTTTAAAGCGACTGATCGCCATTTGCAGCAGTTCTGATTCCCTTGCATATTTGTTTGAAAATATGATTTCCCATATGGGTTAGGGCCTTGTAAACTGACTCTTTAACAAAAGCCCCGTGTTAGCTTTTATGTCCCCATGATAGAGGTTATAAATTTAGCCTCCCGAAACCGAGCGAGAAAAACGTGTTGCTGTTTACCTCCTTAAAGGCCGATTAATTTCGTTATTAGGCCTATTATCCCCTTCTAAGGCGGTAATAATAATCGGGTGGATAAATAGGACGGCAAACGTCAAATGGACAGATAGCCTGTGGGGGTGGGGGGGCTGAATGGTTAGCACGTGCGCGCTGTACCATAAAGTCTGTCATTGAGTCAACTGGCGTTGTTTCGAATCCCCGGTTGTACGTGGCAAGGAGTAGGGTCGCATGTCCAAGATCGTGGGTTTTCTCCTGTCCTCCGGTTTCCTCCCACTGCTAAAGACCCCTACGTTCAAGCGAATTATTGAAATAAAATTAAACCATGTGTTAGTTACGAAATGTCCTAGTTTGTGTCGTGTGGACGTTAAACCCCATTTCTCTCTCTCTCATTCCAATGTGACTACACTGTAACTTTAATTCCTTTACAAATAATATTTTGGGAAGTCAATCCATTAATAAGCAAATGGTACCGAAGTTTGCAATAAATTTATAAATACAACATGGGTTATGTGCAAGACAGTGGAGAAAATGGGCGTAGTAGAAAAGTAACACTTAGTGAAATCTTACAGAACAAAAGAGTCGTATTCACACCTTAAATCCGAGACTTCTTAATGACCCAAATCAAGACAACAATAAGTGAGTCAGATGGAGAATAATAGAAAAACAATAGAAAAGTCGTCTTGTTTCTACTTGTATTGCCTGACGACTTGTAAGACACGAGAGCTCAGGCAGGGGACATCACCCCGTCAACAGTCGACCCCGCTTTGACTCATTGACGTTTTTTCCCGCTCGTACGTGACGAGCCCGTGATTGAAGGCATTAATGGCGTCGTCGCGTTAAGATCTAACCCATACCAAACACTTGTTACTGGCTACCTGTGGATTGTAACTGAAACATCCACACCAATGTCTTCTGTTAAATATTACAGCTTTATTTTGTTTGTTGTTGCATGTATTAGTTGTAATGGATGTGGGTGAGTGTTTAACTTTTCTATTTTATTGGAAAACGGACAGTTTAAAATAACTGCGATTCTTTTTTCATCACTAATGTAAAAATAAGTTTTAACTCATCTGTGTAAGTGTTTTTGTGTGTTTTTTCTTAATTGAATTTAAAATATTTTAAATTACAATGGACTTAAATATATGTTTCAAAACAAACTAAAACCATTTCAAATATTTTGGAGCTTCTCATATTATGTGTAAAAATGTTGGTAACGCTCTTTTTATAAAATGTATTGTTGATAAAAATTTAAAATGCTCAAACTTCTACAGATCATTGAAAAAACAGATTTTAAAATGACAGCAATTCATCAAACTTATTTCGCAATCTATGTCTTATGATAATGATGTGTCGAAATAAGGACATCATTTATTTACAGAAAATAGTCATCTTTTATTTTTTCAAAACATTAATATATAATGGTCCTGAATTCGTGTACCTTAAATAATATCCGGTTACCATAATAAACTTGTCATCATTTTCAACCCCCAAGAAAGTTTTAGTAGGCTATTTAATTATAAAAGGAGCGTGAAATGTCTAAATATCATCCGTAATTTATATGATTGTGAGTCGACGATTGCAATGGCATGCACACAAAATCGGCGTAACCCCATGTTTATCAGTCACATATAAATGAAATAAACTTTTTACTTTTACTTTTATTTAATGCTAATGCAAATTTGAGCCATTATTGGTCTTTTGTTCAAGATTTTTTAGAGGGCTTCCATCGTGATTGAAATGTGTGTGTTAATAATGTGTTGAATATACATGTATATAAGTCCCTTAAATGTTTGTCTCGGTACAAAAGCAATGGAAGGTCTTGTTTTGCTACGTTAATTTTGTTTTATGATGATGATGATAATGTTAATGATGATGGTGATGTATGCATAATTTATTATAATTGTATAACACAACACAGTTCTATGGATAACAATCTCTTTATTATACACACGACGTTTCGACAAGATTTCACTGATAACGAACAGTGAAATCTTATCAGTGAAATCGTGTCGAAACGTCGTGTAATATAGTGATGGTTATCCATAGAACCGCGTTGTTATATATTATATTCAATCGCTACATGCCATTCAAAGATTTTATAAATATTGAATGGTTGTACAAGTAGCGGAATTATTATTGCATATTATGATTTTGGTATATTCATGAGCTAAAGTCAAGGACATTAACCCTAGATAATATAAATCCGGTTTACATTCATTGTTCTGTGGTTCGGTTCACGGAGTTAAAAGTATGTATTTTTAACCTCTATCCACTGGACCAAATCTAGGTAAATCCAGCTAAAATACATTCATAGCTCAAAGATCAGGAGGATACATGAGATAGCTCTCCAAAACAGTTCTTCGATATTTGAAGCGAACCCACAATGATGTAAGTATTATTGTTAGGATTGAAATGAGTTAAGGATTGCCTGTTATAATAATTTATCTCTTAATACATTTACAGGATGATTATATATGACCCCCGAATCCTCATGGTCACAAATACAATTTTCTTTTAAATGGAACTGTTACGAAGATTAAAATATTTCGTTAAAAGCTAGATCCATTTTCGCAAATATCAAATAATATTGCCAAATACGTAAATATTAAAAAGCTGCTGTATATTAAACTGTGTGACGTTGTTTGCATAATCTAATGTCATTGGCGATAATATATTTCTACTGGTGACTTTGTACGATGTTAGATATTGTTTCCATTTAAAACATTGCATTAACATATTAAGAACTGAACACTACTCTTGTTCTTCTTGGGATCGACGCTCTGCGAAAAGAAAAACCGTAGACTCTGTCAATTCAAGTACGATCGACATGTTGAAAAATTGGTATAGCGTCACATTTCCAAGATGGCGGCGTCACATTTCCTGCTCCATAACATAGTACTATATTTCCTTTAGACCCGACTTCTAAACAGAAAACATAAGGTCTTACTAATATGCGCACATTACTCATTTGTATTATAATGTAACCGATGCCACTGATTTAAATGGAAATACTTTTGATTTTTTTTTTTACCATCTCTATTTTCAGAATACTGAAACAGCTCTTGAGACTAATTCACAAAATCTTTAACTAAAATATTTAAGGGTGTAGCATTTTTCGTGGTTGAGTGTTAAAATCTTAGTACACATGTAAGCTCTTTAAAATATTTTAATTTTAGTTTTTGTGAGGAATCCATCTGTTATTGCTAACAAATCTTCTATATTTGGTGTTCTACAAGGTTCAACATTAGGACCAATATTATTTAGCGTCTGTGCAAACCTTTGCGGGGAAATGGTCAGTAGTAATATCAAATTCGGCACCAACTTTACAGGGATGATACATGGTCATTTGAATGTGATGGGTTTGATATATCGAAATCAAACACGACACTGGATGCCAAACCATTTCTGAATCAATACAAAACTAAATATTATCTGTTAGGTTCGATGCAGATATTTTGTTATTAACTTTTGTTTCGGCATGTAAAATCCTTGTTTTTAGTCATTTTAGCACACGTGTATTTTGGATTAATGAATGAACGCACATTGTAAAACAAAATTTGTGCCATATGGTAGCAAGTGTTTGAATATTGATTGTACTACTGAGATATATATGGTTGTGTTAGGTACAGAAGAGTAAAATATATAATGAATTTTTTATCGAACATCAATTGCAATGTTTTGGATTATATTTTGGGGGCGGATATAGGTTACATTAGGCGATTTATTCAGGGTTTATTTTTCATTCAAGTAGTATGATAATCTATGACGTCAAACTTGAGAATCTCATTAGACATTTATTTATTACTTGAGAAAAAATACATTACTATCATAACCAGAGCCGGGCGGATTGCTTTTTGTTTTTATTTTCAATCTTCGTGATTTCTTAATCAGGGTTTATAAAAAGGAGGAATAGAAATTATATCGTTTAGTTCCCAATCTTGAGATATTATGTCAGGTATAGTATTTGGAAACGTTTTCATTGACAGAATTGATATTATCCATCTATGTCGTGTGTCTATCCTCGTTTTGACACTGCTTAAGCTTTATCGTAACAGTGCAATATGTCATAACCGAAGCAAGTTATGTTTCTATACAATCAACAGCCATTGAATTGAAAGAAATTGGAGATGCTAATTGTAGGCCGGTTGGGGAGGTTCGGAAATTTCCAGAGTCCACAGTGGTTGTTTTATATAAATGAGTATTTTGGAAAATACTAACTCTAACCCTTTGTAGAAGCCTGAATTTGTATCCAAGTTACCCTTTATTCCTTGTAAAAGGGTTTGGGCTAAGGTTAGTATTCCATAAAATACTCATAAGCGGCCACTGTGGACCCCGAAATTTTTGGAACCTCTCCAACCAACCTAAAATCAGCATCTCTCGAAAGAAATGTATAGATCGGGATAACTGTGAAGATAAACGATCATCGAATTTTAGGAAAATGATTTATTGGCATTCCGAAATACAGACCTAAACGTTTTCAGTTTTGTTTTCTAAGCAATGATTGCGCAGATACTTAAAGGAGCTAATTCACTAATATTTGAGACCTAGAAATTGACACAAATGGGTGGCAATGCATATAATAATGCAATATGAAATATGAATGTATATTAACTGATTTACATTCCATCGTTTATGTTTTTAATCTAATTTCTAATCATTTATGTCAATCGAATGGTAATCTCTAGTGTCTGGTTATTCGAGTCTACGCAGAGAGTATTTTTGGCGCATTCTCTCCAGATAAGAATATGGCGTCACCGTTTGGCACGACTTGTGGAATATGTCAAGCCTCGTTCTTCGAGTCCCTTGTTACAAATGTTGATTTAAATTGACAATTAATTCGTGTTTTCAATGTCGAAGACTTTGAATGATACTGAGTTAGAGACTTAGCTACTTTAAGTGAAGATATGCGTCAATTATTACGATATTTTAGTCCAAATAGACATAATATATATAAAAAAAAAACCCGCTGACCATTGGGCTGCTTACTGTTAACTCTCTATCGAATACCCAACAAAATCTACCCACTGTTAGACTAATAAGATTTATGCAATTTAGTTGCCCGTTAAGTTAAAGATCAGTGGTATATTTTTTAAACTAAGTTTCGCCGGTAGGATTTTGACAAATATATACACGCTACATTAAGAGAATGCATCCACTAGCTGCTGAATTATTTAACTGCTATAAAACTTAGTCTGACCCATAATTACAAACTGAAACTACTGCATAAAACAATCTTACAGTAGTTTTGTAAGAAAATAAAGACACGCTGACATTACAATAAAAATTTTTATCGCAACATAAGAAATACAGAAATTGCTGAATTAATTATCAAAAGGAAAATATCAATTTTCTTGTGAAATATAAACGAATTGGTTTATTAAACACGTCTTTGTGCGCCTGACACATAACAAGGTGCGACTTTGATCCAAGGGAGCAACTTGTGGTTGAAATCCCGTGGTCAGCGTTCTGCTTTATGACGTCATTTTCCATTTGATTGGGTGGTGTTGTTTTTTGTTGGTTTTTTTTTTTTGGGGGGGGGGGGGTCTGGAGTCCTGTAAATGTTATAAATGGTTGTTATTTAGGTCATATTGGAGTAATGCCACCGATAATTTGAGTAAAATCTTTTTACAGAACTGGTATTCAAATTCTTTGTTTGAGTGTTTCCCCTTAAATAATCGGTTATTTTTCGCTGATGTATAGGCAGACCCCAAATCAGCTCTTGCAAAAGCTATTTAAAACTCAATTTTGCACTGTCACCAAATTTACATAACAATTATAAAAAGGTAAACATCAAATTGTGAGAGCAGTACACAGTATATTAGATCTACGGGTTTTTTAAACAAGTAAAGGAGTTATCTTTTTTTTTTGCCACAGAAAACGTGTATTTGATATTACGTTACGTAAGTTTATCCGGGCCAAAGTTATTTTAAACATCCTGCTGTAACACGTCTTTCAACTTGCTTTTTACATACATGTATGATCTATTTTGCTGTTTCATTGCTCGTACGTCATCAGTCATCAGTAATGATTTAATCAAATATAACGTAAATGATTTTACAATGATACGAATTTAAAATTGATTTGATGCATGATTAACGATAAACAACTTATTTTATAAATAACATATGCTATTTTCAGGTTGTATTTTTTTATTTTTTCATTTTTTTTTTTTAATTTAAAAAAAAAAAAAAAAATACAGCCAGCACATTTAAAAGTTCAACAGCAGATTATCTTGCTTCATTCACGATGCAAGTTCTAGATTCTAAATTAGACTATTAGTTTACTTCTCATAACTTTGCCTGCGATATCCCTCGAGAGCGGACGTTAAAACTGTTCAGCCACAGTCTCGGCATATTCAGATGACTCACATAATAAAAAAATGGATGCTTAAAGAGCTGCTTTTGAAATTTTGTAAAGTTGAGAAAAAGCACAGGTTTCGATATGTGGCATCAAGTAATGGTTGGTGTTGTACACGAGACAGTATGGGCTTACTCTTCCTAGCTAGAACACCTGGAGAAGTTCACATGGCTAGCAAAAATAATTTGGCTTGGTGAATCTTTTGATTACTTATTTTGTAAAATTGCCAAATTGTAATTTCTTTAAGGTGTAAGACAACTATAAACTAATATCTACTTTGTAACACCATATCTATTATTATGTTATGCACGCATCAATAGAAAAATCAGTTTAATTTTTATCATCTTTCTAAAAATTAACATTTTTTTAGCGTGATATTTATAGCACAAACTTTCGTTATAAATAATATGTTTTTTGTAGTGAAGTTTCTCCATTTCATGTACTAGATTGCCTTTTGACCAATCCTTTAATTTCTTATAAAAGGCAGGTTTCGCCGACCAATCAGATTTAAGGTCAGAAAATACCACTCATGTCATGTGTTCTTTTTCATATATTATCATATTAACAGGCCATAAATAATGACATAATTCTTTTAACATGACACTATTGTATTATGATGCTCGTGACGATATACGGCAGCGCAAGATTAACGTTAAATAAAGTCAAATTAAGGATTAAGAGTTAAAGTGGACCATTTGCATCAATGGTATACGGGAGGTTGAAGTATCATTATATTTAGTGGGGTTTAAAGTTTAGGATTGAGCTGGCGACGTTCAGTCGCTTTCGGCTCTTACTTAAAACAATGGGAGTCCATATTACGTGACGAAGAGATATTCCTTGGATCTTTTTCCACGCCGCTTATGTTCTTTACAATGAAGGTGAATTATCTTTTGCTTAAAGACAACAGTTATACAACAGGACAAGACATTGTATAGTGTCTATTAAGAAACTAATAAAATGTAGCTTTATTTCATAAACCTAATCCTTGTTTATTATCCCTACAATACAATATATTTATCTATAAGGTTAGC